GTGGCTGGGACCCCGAAACTACTAATTGTGAAGGACTCAGAGGCTGATCCTGAATCACCATGAGAGAACTTGAAATGCCAGTTAACCTTGTTGATAAGTTAGGATGGAAAAAAGAGCCTACTTCAGAAGGCCAGGATATCCTCTCAGAGATGGTATTTTGGATGTAGGAAATCGGAGAGACCCTTGGTAGCACAGAAACAATTGGAAGATGAATTATCATGCTAATGATGCCTCATATCTTTATCCTGCCTCCTACAGGGAGCTCCCATCCTTGGCTAAGAACTGGGTGATGCGGATGTTGTTTCTGGAGCAGCCATTGCCCCAAGCAGCTGTAGCCCTGTGGGTGAAGAAGGAATTTAGCAAGTGAGTCTCCCTGCCTTCCCCACATTCCTCTAGGGTCTTCTGTGTTTCCTCTTCTCAGGTCCCAAAAAACTGATGTCTTCTGTCACTTCACTGCTGCTTTTGTAGAGCCCAAGAGGAAAGCACAGGACTGTTGAGTGGTCTCCGTATCTGGCACACCCAGCTGCTTCCCGGTGGCCTCCAGGGCCTTATCCTCAACCCTGTCTTCAGACAAAATCTTCGTGTTGCTCTCCTGGGAGGGTATGTCATCTTCCTTTCTTTGGTACAAAATACTGTCCATCAGGATGGGGATGGAGGAAGGGCTCCCCCAAGTTATTTCTTGTGACTTCCACAGTTTTTGTAGATCTCCTCCCGTTTCATGGGAGAGGTTAGCCTGAGATGTGGTTTATTCTAGGATGATGAATGTCATGCTCATGGCTGATGAGGAGGGAGGATGCTGGTGGTGTAGGGGACAAAGGGAGAAGAAGCATATTTTTACTCTAGACCCATCTGACCATAGGGGGAAGGCTTGGTCAGATGACACAAGTCAGCTTGGCCCAGACAAACACGCCCGGGATGTTCCATCACTGGACAAGTATGCAGAGGAAAGATGGGAGGTAAGATCCCAAGGGCATAATCCTTGTGTTCCCAGAGATTCCCTCAAACTTATTTATCTCAAGATCTATATGTTCCCCTTAAATGCCTCCTAACCTTCTATAGAAGTTCCTCTGTCCCCTGCTCCACCTGGAACGAGACTCAGGCTTTCCCATCTCTCAGGTGATCCTGCACTTCATGGTTGGCTCCCCAAGCGCGGCCGTCAGCCAGGACCTGGCCCAGCTACTCAGCCAGGCTGGGCTTATGAAGAGGTGAGGCCAGGGGCCTGTGGGGCTCCCCGCCTTCCCTTTTTCCCTGTGGGTCCCTGTTGATGTGAGGGTGGAGAATAGAGAGGGTTTCCCAGGGGAAAATCCATGGGACTGGGGGAAACAAGGTGAAAGAAAGTTAGAAGTATTGAGGAAGCTATAAGTGAAGGGCTCAGAGTGAAGAAATTAGTGAGATTGATGCTTTTTTTCTTCTCCCCCCCCCCCACCTCCCTCATGACCTTGTGTATGCCTAGTTCCGAGCCTGGAGAGCCACCCTGCATTACCTCTGCTGGTTTCCAGTTCTTGCTGTTAGACACACCTGCCCAGCTTTGGTATTTTATGCTGCAGTATCTGCAGACAGCTCAGGTAAGGAGGCTGATCAGTTGCTGAGGTCCCTCTTCCAGTACAGGCACCTGCTGCTGACATTAGGAACTTCCCCCACAGTACTTTTGTCTCTGTTCCCTGCTTGTCTCGTCTCCCCGTGCTCTTCTAACCTCTCCCCCGTCTGTTTTTCCCTCCTAAGAGCCGAGGCATGGACCTGGTTGAGATCCTGTCCTTCCTCTTCCAGCTCAGCTTCTCTACTCTTGGCAAGGTTAGCAGGGAGCTGGAAGGTGGTGCTGTGGATGGAAGGCTTTTGGTGGGGGGAGAGAGACAGACAATGGAAAGGATATGTTTGGGATTATGGAGGCAAAACAGCAAAACATGGAGAGGTAAATAATTTGGGGAAATAAGCAGAAGAGGGTGATATAGGAAGAGGGGAAGTTGGAAAGGAGAAACACATCTGGACATCTCAGCCAACCCTTGCCACCTCTTTATCCTAGGATTATTCTGTGGAGGGCATGAGTGATTCCCTTCTTAACTTTTTGCAACATCTACGAGAGTTTGGGCTGGTGTTCCAAAGGAAGGTATGAGTTCTCATATATATTTATTAAATGCCCACTCTGTGCTAGGCACTGTGCTCAGTGATTTACTGATTTGGTCCTCACAATAACCCTAGGAAGTAAGTGTTATTATTATCCCCATTTTACAGTTGAAATTGAGGCAGACCTAGGTTAAATGACTTGCCCAGACTACTAAGTGTCTGAGGCTGGATTTAACTTGTGTCTTCCTGAATTGATAATTAATTTTGAAATTGTGAAGTTACGAAATGGAAGCAACCATGCCCAGTTCTTTGAGTAATCACTGGGAAAGACCACAATGGCAGTGGGAAATGGGATGGCAATCACACTTTAATAACCAAAGGGTGTGAGAACAACTAGCACAGAAAATACAGAGACAAGTAATGAAAAGAGGAGGGATACAGAGGCAGATGGCAGTGTGGGAACAGGGGATGGAATGAAGAAGTAAGGCAGGCAGCTCAGAGAAAAAGATGGAGAGGCAAGAGGCAGAGCGTTTCACTCAAGTAAACATGGCTTAGAGTTGGGAGCCCTCAGCAGCATGGACCTGAGGAGATGGAAGAGGGGGGAAGGGGGGACAGGAGTTTGAGGTCTCATTTTTATAGTACTTTGGGGGGGTACAGACTAACTCCTATCTGTGCTGACCTTAGAGTTGGCTCATTAACATATCCAAATATTTTAACATTATCAGTAAAACTTCAAAGTTAACATGTCTACGTTATCCCAAAGTTATCAGCATCTTTTGATGTTCAGCTGGTCTGAAACTGGAGGTCTGGAATTTGTCTGGGATTTACATATCATAGGACCAGAACCCTAACAGCAGCACCTAGATGGCTTCCCCTGATTCAGCACATGTTGCCAGGATGTGAATTTTGGTTAATATGATACAATTTGTAAATTATGCTCCTTTGATCTTTGGAATTGTTTGAATGGGACGTCCAGGTTCTCTTTTGCAATCTCATTTCCTGCTATTGCCCCTTCATAGTGGCTACTTATAAACTTACTTTACTGACTAGAATTGGGGGTGACATTGAGGGAGACCAGAGCAAGATAAAATTTTAAGACATTTCGTGATTCCAGTTCCAGCACTCTATCCACTACACCACCTAATTGCGTCAATTGAAGAGGAATGGGGCTTTTTTAATCAATGAAGAGTGAGGGACTGGAGGCTAGAGTTGGGTACCTGGTCCCAGGATGGAAGGGGCTATATACCATCAAATGGCCCTCCCTCTTCCATGCTTCCTAGAGAAAGTCTCGGCGCTATTATCCAACCCGATTGGCCATCAACTTGTCATCAGGTGTTACTGGTGCTGGAGGTACTGCTCATCAGCCAGGCTTCATCGTTGTGGAAACCAACTACCGGCTGTATGCCTACACTGGTGAGGTTGGAGGGATGAAGATGAGAATAGTTAGGTAGTTAGGGAGGGTATTAGAAGAAGGAAGGAGATAAGGGTGGAGGGGAGGGTGTTGGAAGAGGAACTGAAGCTTCTTTGGTCTTCTTTTTTTTTCTTTGGAGACAGAGTCAGAACTTCAGATTGCACTCATTGCCCTCTTCTCTGAGATGCTCTATCGATTCCCCAATATGGTGGTAGCCCAGGTCACTCGGGAGAGTGTGCAGCAGGCCATTGCTAATGGTATCACAGCCCAGCAGGTATTGTCAGCAGGTGGATAATGGGGAGGACTAGAGGTGGTGAGAGTCAGGGTGATAGGGAGATAGAGTGATAGATTTATCAACAAACAGATTGGGTTTCATTTGGGTGAGGTGGAAATGGGAACATGGCAGGTGGTTCAGGAGGGTAGTAGGGAAGGTAAATGGTAGAAGGCATTACTTTCAGATGGGGGAGGGGGGAGCAAGGTAGGGGGGTGGGGAGAGACAACAGAATATAAATATTAGAGAATGTAGACATCTGGGAAGAAGTGAGAAATATGATCAATAAAAGTAGAAGCTCAGCAGCAAAAGCTGGATGGGAACAGAGAGGGTTACAGGCAGTGGTGATGATAGGCATGGATGTTAAATTGCCTATAGTGCATGGGGAGAAAAAGAACAAATTAATGTTCCAATAGAAGCGGGCTATAGATTTCAAGATGGCCAGAATTTTCTTACCCTCCTGCTGTGGCCTTAAACTATTCTCATCTCTCTTCAGATCATCCACTTCCTGAAGACAAGAGCACATCCAGTGATGCTGAAACAGGTCCTGAGTTAGGGGAGGCATTTGGATAGTGGGAAGGGAGCAGAGGAATGGGAGGAGGGATTTGTCTTGGCAAAAAGACAAAAGGCAGTGTTCAGCCCCAGCTGAAGGATCTCATAGCTACTCCAATCCCTTATAGACTCCTGTACTGCCTCCCACCATCACAGACCAGATCCGACTCTGGGAGTTGGAGAGAGACCGGCTTCGATTCTCCGAGGGTGAGTAGCTGGTAGCAATCAGTTGGCAGCTGACCCTTTAGCATAAGTTTTGTTTTGTTAGATTCTAATTTCATCCATTTGACTTTACCTCCCTCTCTTTCATCTTGGGACATTTAGTTAGGAGCAGAGCCAAGGCTAGAATTCAGGTTTCCTAATTCCAGACTGTTCTGTTTGTCACAGTACCCTATTTATTGGTCTCTTTTTGTAGTAGATACTTTTTGTTTTAATGCATTTGACTCCCTGGTGTTAGAGAGAGTCCTTGAGTAGGGGACATTGGGGTTTGTGAGAAGGCAGTCCCCAAGCATGGTTCTTAGTGATGGTATTTTAAAAATTTAAATTAAGTTGCCAAGAAGAGTCTGCAGAGTGGATGACAAAGAAGTCTATATAAATATCAAAGGGTACAAGAGGCTGGATTTGGAGTCGGAGAGACCCAGGTTCCAGTCAGATACTTAATAGTATCATAGATTTGAAATTGGAAGGGACCTTAGAAGCCATCTTGTCTAACCCTTTCATTTTACAGATGAGAAAATGGCTCTAAAGAGAGGAAGTGACAGCTGGGATTAGAATTTAGGGCCTTGGGTTTTCAAATCCAGTGCCTTTTTCCAAGCTGCCGCCTTGACTTGGCTCTCAGCTTCATTTTTCCTTTTTATAAAATGAGTCTAATAGCTGTAGTACTTAACCTCACAGGATTGTTTCTCAAAAAATTTAATATAGGCAAGGCAATTAAATGTCAAAGTGCTATTAAAACTGCTCAGAAGCAAAGGATTAGGAATGAACGGATCGGTCAACACCCATTTTGTATTATTTATTGAGCAGTTACTCCATGCCTAACACGGAGCTAAATGCCTACTGTCATCTAAGGCTTTGGCTGATCATTGCGCGGCTTGCTGTTTCACCTCCTCTCCGTGTCTCTCTCTCTTCCCCCTCCCCCATCTCTCGACCTGTTCCTGGGTCCCAGGCGTCCTCTACAACCAGTTCCTGTCTCAGGTGGACTTTGAGCTGCTGCTGTCACACGCCCGGGAGCTGGGTGTGCTGGTCTTCGAGAACACGGCCAAGCGGCTCATGGTGGTGACCCCCGCAGGGCACAGTGACGTCAAGCGGTTCTGGAAGAGGCAGAAGCACAGCTCCTGAGACAGGGTCGGGGCTGCAGGGAGCGGCTGGGGCCACGCGCACCCCAGAGACTGGCGAGGAAACGGAGGGTGTGGCCCGGCCCGGAGCCGAGCGGTGCCGGAGGGAGGGCCAGGGGAGGCCGGGCCGGGAGCGCCATGCCCCCAGGCTACCCAGGGAAGGAGTGGTAGCCTCACGCCCACTGAGCTCAGAATGCCTGGCTCCTGGAGCGAGTCGCAGGGCCTTGCATTATTTTTTTTTTTAAATCACATCGGAACTTTTCTTACTCAATAAAGTTATGGAAATGAACGTTGCCCAGGACCACGTTCGTCCCTTCGAGGGCTGGAGTATTTTTCTTCCTCGTGTTTCTTTTTATTGGGAAGTAGGCGGGGCTTCTGGAAGCGCATGCGCCATTACGGACGGTGGGGGGGGCGGTGGTTCTGGGTTGGCGCACGCGCACTTTTTCGCTCTTTGCCTGCTGCCTTCAGAGTTTTCCCGGCCGCGTTCCGTTTCTGACACCTTCCGCCTGGGACCCGGGCCGGGAGTGGGCGGGTCTATCGGGCGGCCAGTCTTGCTTGGGGCATCTCGGTACCCTCGTGTCCTGTGGACTTCCGGGGGAGGCAGGCCTGAGGCTGTACGGAGCCGACAGAGAAGCGTGAGCGGAGGCTCCAGGGACCATTTAGTGGCCGGGCGCCTGGGGAGGGCAGCCAGGTGCTGGGGGAGCGGGCGTGCGGGGCGGGCATCCCGGGTCCGAGCGCAGCTTGGAGAGCCCGGATCCCGATTTTGACGCCGTCGGTGTGAGGGGACGCAAATTCCTTCATATCTCACATTTATATGCCACTTCAAGGGTTACGCAGCGCCTTGCACATATGAATGGCGGCTCGCTCCACAGCCCCAAGTGCTTTTATCGTCCTCATCATCCCCTGGGGAAGCAGGATTACACGGGTCGAGAGCCTTGCCCAGGGTCCGGTCTTGACTCCAGGCCCAGCACTCTGTCCACCTAGGAATAGCCAGGAGCCACCTAGCTCCCTTAAGTTCTCTGACTCAGTGTCTTTATCTTTAAATCGAGATAATAAGGTCATAGATTTAGAGCTGGAAGGGACCTTAGAAGTCATGAAGTTAATCCAACCTTAAAATTATATTTTATAATTGAGACGCTAGGGGTTTTGTCAGGATTCAAACCCAGAGGCAATGTGGTGCAGTGGGAAGAAATTCTGAATTTGGACTTAGAGGGCCTGGGTTTGATTTCCAGTTTTGCTACTTACTATATATGTGATCTTCCTTATTAACTTAACCTGTTTGGAATGAAAATCCTAGAATTCAAGGTAGAAGGGACCGCTTTTATTTTTAGATAGAGCATTTATGAAATGCTTACTGTGTACTAGGCACTGGGGATACAAAGATAAAAAATGAAGCCGCCCTTTGTTTTCAAGGAACTTACATTCTAGCATGGGATATATAACATAAATACAAAATAAATACAAGGTAATCTATCCTCATACTCCAAATCTCTTTTGCCAGACTGCCTGCCTGATAGCATTAGTATTTGCTTTGGTGTATGGGGTGTTCAGAAGGAGTAGCACCTCCAGTGAGCTCTTGCTGAGCCTTTTTCAGGGCTGTTCGTCCACCTTTAGTGTCCACATTTCACCCAACTCTCACTGTGGCTTCAGGAAGCTGTAACATTTGAAGTGGCCACACCTGTGTAAAACCATCTACTAAGATGCACTAAACCAGGTTGAGGGTAGCTGAAAGGCCTCAAACCCATCCTTGATGGGATTTCTGTCCCAAACATGTGAAGACTTCCCAGGTGGAATGGTTGGGTGAGAACAATTTGTTCCACTGTGTATGAGGGCAGCTGAAACAAGCATTTGTGGAGTGCTTAGAGCTTGGTCAGACATCAAGATGCCACGGTCATCCACTGCATCCTGTGATGTCACTGTCTTGGAGAATGAAGGACAAACAACAACAATAGTATTTGCCTTAGTGGTTTAATTAGAAGAATATAATAAAATTTATATAAAGTCTTCGAAAATCTTTAAGTGCTATGTAAGTATCAGCTATGGGGCAGTCTGGTAGAAAGTTGGTCATAGATTCAGGAAGACTTGAATTCAAGTCCCTCCTGGGGCCTCTGGCCCTGTGATGGAGTTTCCTCGTCCAAAAGTTTCTGAGTGTTGTTGGTGAAATAGCAGGTCACCCCTATTCCTATCCAAGTTTCAGTGAATGAATTCTTTAGGACTGTGCTGATAAGAGAAAGTGATTGGATTGGCAGAAGACACCTTTTGCCAATGAAATCAAGACTAGTCCAAAATAAATATGGAGATTTACAGTTTACAAAGCATGAAAACGCTTTAGTTTAGTAAGTCCAAGAAAGGGTTCTTTTGGGCACTTTGGAACTAGAGGAGATATAAGTACAATGAGACAGGAACCCTGCCCTCAGGGGTATAGTATATTCCTTATCCTTAATACTCACTGCTGCCCTTCGAAGAACAAGGTTGGTATTTTTATCCCAGTTTTGCAGGTGAAGAAACAGACCTAGAAAGTCATTCAGACAGGAAGCATTTATTAAACACTTAAAAACGACTTGTTCAAGGGCACGTGGCAATTCAGTAGGAAAGCTAGGACTGGAACCTGAATCTAGGTCCAAGGCTTTTTTTTTTCATTGTACAACAACGAAAGTATGGGAGTCCTACATCTGAGGAGAAACTATGTGGAAGGGTATAATGAATAAAATGGCTGGGATTAAAGAAATGAGTGCCTTGTCACTGAGGAAATAAAGGAAGGGGATTCTTGAGGCTTTTAGTGAATGTCCTTTTTCTCTTCTAGGAAGAGATCCTGGCCCCCTGCCCACCCAGCCTCAATGTCCCACTTGTCCTTGGCCCCTCTTCGGACCAGGTTTTGGGGACTGAAACCCCCCCAGAGTATCCTGTGGCCCCACCCTTTATCCACTCAACCCTATCCTCATGGACCCTCTGTCCCCCAAAGGAATCGTGAACAGAAACAGAAACGGCTTCGAGAAAAGCAGGGGGCTTTGGAATCAGAGACAGCAAAGAAGAGCAAGGTAAGGGGGAAGGAGGGTCTGGGTGGGCTAGGGGATGCTTGAAGGCTAGTAAATTTCCCCAAATCTTAACGGATTTCTTTTTCAGCTACCAACGAGGCCTAGTAAAAGTTGGACTGCCAAAGAGATAGTGTTATATGAAATCCCTACAGAACCTGGTGAAAAAAAAGGTAACTGAGAGATATGAAAACCTTTTCCTGCCCCTTACTCCCAGTATTTTGGCTGTCTAGTAAAGACATATTTGAACAAGTTCAGAGATAATAGAATTCTTTATTCTGTGTGTTCCCCTAGATGTCACAGGACCCTTGCCTCCTACATACAGTCCCCGATATGTTGAGGCTGCCTGGTACCCTTGGTGGGTTCGAGAGGGGTTCTTCAAACCAGAATATCAGGTCAGTAACTCATGTCAATAGCAGCTGTATTGGGCCCTGGGTAAACAAGATCTCTGCCCTCATAGTGCTTACAGTCTATCATTGTAGGGTAATAGATTTAGAGCTGGTAGAGACCATCTAATTCAACCCTTTCATTTTATATATGGGAGAGTTGAGGCCTAGTTTGATAAGGGTCATATAAGTATGAAGTTGTAGAATTGGAATTTGAACCTAGGTTCATTGGCTTCAGATCTAGTCTCTTTACTTTCCTGGGCTGCTTCTCCAATCAAGGCACAAGAAAGACACTAGTACAGGTATAATATACAATGTTACATAGTAAGCGCATTAGAGAACTACAGAACGAAATGCTACATGGGAGATATAAAAGGGAGTAAGAAAGCAGTGTTTGAGAGCTTTAAAGGGTAGGTAGGAAGTCAGCTAGGTAAGGGGGGAAGAGAGGATGTTCCTGGTAGTGTGGAATCCAAAACCCAGAGGAAAAAGATAATGGAACCTGTTTGGGGATTAGAGGGCTGTCTAGTTTGGTGGGAGTACAGAAAGTAGAATAAGGCAAAAGAGGCATGTGGTGTTACATTGGAGAGGGCCTTTAATGCAAAAGGCAAAAGAGTTTGAAATTTCCTTGGAAGGCAGCAAAGAGCCCCTGAACATGTTCGTACAGAAGAGTAAAATGACCAGTTTATACATGAGGAACCTTGGAGTCCCCCTCATTTTATAGCTGAGGAGACTGAGTCCTGATTGATTTGGACAAGGTCACACAGGTCAGAACCCAGATCTTAGGATCATAGATTTAGAATTGGAAGAGACTTTAGAGGCCAATCCAATCTCTTCATTTTACAAATGAGGAATTGAGGCCCAGAGAGATTAGAGGTCTTGCCCTAGGTCACACAGTTAATGAGGAGCAGAGCCAGAATTTTAACACTTGTTTCCAAAGCTAGTACTTCCTATGCCATGCTGTCTTCCAGGTTGGGTTGGTGTGGGGAGAGAGTGGAGGTGGGAAGACTTGGTAAAATACTATTGCAGTAATCCCTGTGGGTGATAATGAAGGCCTATATGAAGCTGGTGGCAGTGAGAATAGAGAGGAGGGGATGCATGTGAGAGAGTTTGTGAAGGTGGAATGGATAGGATGTGCTTGGACATAGGAAGTTAGGGAGAGAGGAGAGCTAGAGAGAGTTCTGAGGTTTTATGCTTGGGACACAGGGTGGATGGTAATAATTTCGAGTCAGAAGGAGGAGCTGATTTAGGGCAGAGAAAATAAGCCTGGTTTTAGGCTGAGGAAAGCAATGAAATCGGTAAGTTCTGAACCTTGAGATCTGTAGCTCATGAGGAGTCCGAAAATTTCTGTGCCTTCAGGATCTCTCTCTTCTGCTGTCTGCCTAGATTGTGAGAACCTTCTTCCCTACAGCACCTCAGCTCTAGAGACACCAGGGGGCTCTCTTGTCCTAGGTAAATACCCTTCCTCAACCTTTCTTCTATTCCCAGCTCCTCTCTGATTTTGCCTTTTGCCTCCTCTCCTAGTCCCAGCTGCCTCAGGCCACGGGGCAGACTTTCTCCATGTGTATCCCACCCCCCAATGTCACTGGCTCTCTGCACCTTGGCCATGCTCTCACTGTGGCCATACAGGATGCTCTTGTGCGCTGGTAAGAGGGAGAAGGGAGTGTGTCTGGCTCCTGTGAGATGGGTCTGGAATAGTGGGGAGATGAGTCTCTGGGATAACAGGGAGGGGTTGGGCCATGCAGGTACTGAGAGGTCATAGTGATGTTGGGATCAAGTTAAGCAGATATGTGGGGTTCTGGGTCCTTCTATCACAGGCATCGGATGCGAGGGGACCAGGTACTGTGGATCCCAGGTTCAGATCATGCTGGCATTGCTACTCAGGTATTTCTCTGACCCATTTCACTCCAAGATATAGGAGATTTCCCTCTTTGAAGCCATTTGTCCTTCTCTCCATCTTTCCTCTTTTCCTACCCCAGGCTGTGGTGGAGAAGCAGCTATGGAAGGAGCAAGGAATAAGGAGACATGAACTGAGCCGAGAAGATTTTCTAAAGGAAGTATGGAGGTGGAAGGAAGAGTAAGTATAGCTCCCTAGTTCCAGCTCTTTTTCCCCCTATATTCCATTCTCTCCAGGGTCCTAAGCATCCAGCTTCCCTGTCCTGACCCTGCCCAATTTTCCTCCCTGACAGTTAGGCATGGGGAGTCACTGTACTTTTTTTCCTGGGAACAGAAAGGGTGTTGAGATCTATGAGCAGCTACAAGCTTTGGGGGCCTCTTTGGACTGGGATCGAGAATGTTTCACCATGGATGCTGTGAGTACCAGATGCTTTGGTCTCCAAAGGGAATGGTAGATTAGGTGATGAGAGAATGCAAACTTAGAGCTGAAGAGCCTGGCATACTTCGGTTACTAAGAGGGGTGGCAGAATGTGGTGGGGTGAGAGCACAAGAGAGAGGAAGGAAACCCAGGTATGAATATAGACCTTCTTTCAGCATTCTTCAGTAGCAGTGACAGAGGCCTTTGTCCGTCTGTATGAAGCTGGGCTGTTATACCGGGACCAGCAGATTGTCAATTGGTCATGTGCTTTGAGGTCAGCCATCTCAGATATTGAAGTAAGTATGAGGTTGGGGTGAGGAGGTTAAGGGATGGGTTCAATTTTGTATACCTAAGCCATGCTAGGGGGAAAAGGGTAGTTGGACTTTGGAGCCTCTCAGATGGGATTAGAGGTGGGTTAGGGAGAGGGTAGGCAAGGAAGAATATCAACCAGGAGTTTTTGAGGCCATGAATACAGAATAATGACACAAGTCTCTCCTGATATGCCCAGGTGGAGGGGTGGCCCCTGCCTGGCCGAACAGAATTCTGCCCTCCAGGCTGTCCCTCCCCCGTCTCCTTCGGCCTCCTCGTTTCTGTTGCCTTTCCAGTAGATGGGGACCCTGGTGAGTTCCATCTATTCTGTTGCCTGACTTAGTGTGTCCTAGTCTTTCCTCTTTTTGTCTGTCTATGAGTATCAAGTCAGACCCTTTGGAATCTCCCACTTTCCAGCATGGGGAATGGGAATGGAGTGGTAACCTATTCTTCATTCCACAATTAAGATCTTCAAATTAATTAATCACTAAGCTTTTATCTGACTGCTAGTCTGTCTGGCATTGGTCACTGAGAGGATACGTAAATGTCTTTTCCCTGTTCTCAAGATAGGGAGATAAGACTGACACCCATGAAACAGAATAATTCAGTGTCAAACTCTGTGGTTTGGACTAGAAGTGCTTTAGGGGCTAAGAAGAGCAGTAAGTCAGTGAGAGCTAGAGCAGTCATGGTCAATATCTTGGAGGAAGGACTTGCCCTGGGCTCTGGGGGATGGGTAGGATTTGTGGTGAGACAATGGAACACCTGTAGAAGATCTGCCTGTTCCATTCCACCTGCTGGGAATTTCACAGTTTATTTTGGCTCTGAGAGTGATTCACAATCTCATCTGCTTCATCCACTCAAATTACTGGGAATTTCTGGGTACCTGGGCATTCAGATGACTAGAAAACCCCATCTCCTGGGAGTCCTGATCCCTGTTTTACGTAGTTACTTTTCAGGAAGCTGTTGTTTAGGATGGGCTCCCTTCCCCAATTCTTCTAGGTTCTTCTGGGAAATGAGAAATTGATTCAGGTTTGGTTGTATGTTTCCCTAGACACAGAGATTGTAGTGGGGACCACACGGCCTGAGACTTTACCTGGCGATGTAGCTGTGGCTGTTCATCCTGATGACCCCCGATACATAGTAATAAATGACTGCCTCTACCCATCTGACTTCCTCACGCTCCCAGTCTATTCTTACCCCCCTAAGAGTCCGGTCACTTTTTTTTGGCTCCATTTCCTTGTCTCAAGACCACCCTTTATTTTCTCACTGGTCCTGACCCACTTTTTAGAATTGTAAGATTATAGTCCTCTGGAAGAGGAATAAGAGATCATATGATTGAACTTCTCTTTTCAAATAACGAATCTGAGGTCTAAGAAGTTGAACTGAGATTCATACATACTTCATAAGAAACTCCACTGAGGTCATACTGCTAAGTATGGGGACAAGATCAATACTAGGGTCCTGATCTTTTGATTTTGTCTTTTAACTCTATTCCTTTCAGTTGTTCCCTTTCTCCCTCTTATCCCAAATGCCCTCATTCTGTCTTCCTTCCAACAAATGTGTCTACACCTGATCCACAGAAAGCACTTAATAAATGCTTGTTGAATGACTGACTGATCCTTTCTTCCCCTCATCAGCACCTCCATGGGCGCGAACTCCGTCATCCACTAAGTGGAAAGCTCCTTCCCCTCATCACTGACCCTGCAGTCCAACCTGACTTGGGCACAGGTTTGTGGAGACTAGGAGAGAGGAAGAAAGCTAGGGGAGGACTAGGGAAGGGGGAGAGAAAGGAGATTAAGGAAGAATAAGGAAATTCACAGGGAAGTCTGGGAGGATAACAAGGAATAGTAGTATTACACCTTACATTTGTGTAATTATAATTTGCATAAATATTACCTAGAGATAACCATGGTCCCCTTGTAAGATAGACCAGATAGATACTCATTTTCCAGATGAGGAAACAGGCTTATGGTTGTTAAAAGCACAGCCACATGACTAGTAAGTGGCAGAGCCAGAATCTGAGCTCATGTCTTCTGACTTGAAGTTTGTGCTTCTCCCTACACAGAGATATGGAGAGCAGAGGGTAGATTTGTGGAACCATAGATGGGGCTTAGGGAGACAAGGTCAATGGTCTGATTATCTCCTCACTGCTGTTCCCTTAGGTGCAGTGAAAGTGACCCCTGCTCACAGCCTTGTTGATGCTGAGATTGGGGCACGACACAAACTGGTTCCTGTGAATGTCATTGGAGAGGATGGAACCATGGTCTCTCCCTGTGGGGATTGGCTGCAGGTCGTACCACACCTTTAATTTCCTGTCTCAGTTTCTGAATACTGCTATGTCCTTTTCCACCCTGAAGCCTCCAAACAGGCTTCTCTGTTTCTACAAAGAACTTTTCCTTATAGGGTCTTCACCGATTTGTGGCCCGTGAAAAGATTGTGTCTGCGCTTAAGGAACAAGGGCACCTTCGTGGCATTCAAGACCATCCTATGGTACTCCCTATCTGCAGGTAATTCTCTTCCTCCATGACCCACATCTCTAAAAGGTAATGAGGGTGGGAGTAGAGTGGAAAGGACTAAACTTTTACTAAAGTAAAAAGAGGGTAGGTCATACCACTGAGGAAGATGGGGGGATAGTATTTGGGGATAACGGGGATGAAAGATTGAATGGGGCCTCACTTTTCCCTCTGTAGCCGTTCTGGAGATGTGGTGGAATATCTTCTGAAAAACCAGTGGTTTGTGCGATGCCAGAAAATGGGGAAACAAGCTGCCCAGGTGAGAGCCAAGTGAGGACACTACATAAGGAAGATGGGGCCTTTTGGAACTGGGAATGAGGGAGCCTGCGAGTCCCCTTTCCTGAAGAGGCCTCTAATTGATGGGAGCTGGATGAGGGGCTATCTGGTATGGAGACATGAAGATGATATGATGACCTGGGGCAGGACCCAGGAAGGTCAGGTTTGTACAGTTATATCCTCTGTGACTCTCCCTCTGATTGGGACCCTAGTAGAGGAGACCTGAACTTTGGAATTATCTTAATTGAGACTAGTTTACCCAATGGGACACAAGAACAGGGGTCATTGCCTGAGGTCCCCTTTTCTTTGTAGGCTGTGGAATCAGGGGCCTTATGTCTCAACCCTCCCTTCCATCAGAAGAATTGGCAGCATTGGTTTTCTAATATCAGGCAAGTAGGAGCACTGGTGAGATTAAGGAAGAGAGAGAGAGACATCTAATCACACTGTAAAGTAACTTTTTTTTTTGTGATGGGGCTTTCATCCACAGTGATTGGTGTGTTTCCAGGCAACTGTGGTGGGGACATCAGATCCCAGCCTATCGGGTTGTTGGAAAGGAGGTAAAGGTGGGGCAGGGTGATTTGGTTTCCTCAGGGCAATGGAGAGGGTAGGAAACTGGGAAGTTACTTTTCCAAATTGTCTTCTTAAATCTTGCCAACCATCCATTCCAAGTTGCTCTTTTATAGGGAGACAGTGAGAAATGCTGGGTGGTAGGTCGATCAGAGGCAGAGGCCAGAAAGGCAGCTGCAGAACTCGTAGGGAGACCAGAGAAGGAGCTTACTTTGGAGAGGGGTAGGTAATTGGACTGGGACTGGAGGCTTATTCCTGGGTGGCTGAGGAGAGCAGTTGCTGGGTTAGGCAAGATGGGGAAGGGTGATTGGGAACTGTTGGGGGGAAAATGCAAAGGAGAATAAAGGACTGGAGTCCTCAGAAAACTAGATCCCAACTGTTCCTGTTCTCATTCTATCCTTCAGACCCTGATGTTTTAGACACCTGGTTCTCCTCTGCACTTTTTCCCTTCTCTGCTCTGGGCTGGCCCCAAAAGGTGAGATGGGTTAAAGAGATGTAAAATTGATGACAATAGGGACAGATGTCATGAGACTGAGGATGGGGACCAGGAGCAGAGATTTGGGGGCTTGGAGGAGAGTGGTGGGGCTGGTTGAATTAGTCCTTGGTTCTATCTCTTTTGTGTTTCAGACCCCAGACTTGGCTCAGTTCTACCCCTTGTCCTTGTTGGAGACAGGCAGTGACCTTCTGATGTTCTGGGTGGGCCGAATGGTCATGCTAGGGTCACAGCTCACTGGACAACTTCCATTTCCCCAGGTAACCTCTCCTCCAGTTCCCTGTCCTCCTTTTCACAACTGCCCAGCTGAAGACAGGCAGCATCTCTATACTTCTCCCATGGATCTATTCACCTTCTCTGAAACCTAAGGAAAGGGGCTCCCAAGGCATGCACTTCCCAGACCTCTGTCCCTGTGCCCAGTTAACTCCTTCCATATCCTCACTCCTCCTGCCTAGGTGCTTCTTCACTCCATGGTTCGGGATGGGCAGGGCCGCAAGATGAGCAAATCTCTGGGGAATGTGCTGGATCCCAGGGATGTTATCAGAGGGGCAGAGCCACAGGTCAGGCTGAACCAAGGGTGGGGAAATAAGTTGGAGGGGCAGGGATGGGTTTTGAATAAGAGTGGAGGGACTTGTGGTGGGGAATTGGGGCTAGGAAAAAGATTCTGTGGAGCAATAGGTAAATCCTCAGATTCCATGTATATTATCCTGTAGGTGCTACAGGAGAAGCTGAAAGAGGGAAACTTGGATCCCAGGGAGCTACAGATTGCTGCTGCTGGACAGGTAGAGAGAGACCCAGGTGTTTGCTGCTCACCCTTCCCCAAGCTGTATGTATATAGAAACACGGACATCTTGAACCTCTTCTCCTTTGCCTGCCAGCCCTTAGCCACCTTTTCTCTTTTCTCTGCTTCCAGAGAAAGGATTTCCCTCAAGGAATCCCTGAGTGTGGTACGGATGCCCTGAGGTTCATCCTGTGTTCTCATGGAACACAAGGTAAGGCCAGGGTAGGCAGGTTGGGGATAGATTCTGGAGATAGAGAAGGGAGATTGATGAAGCCAACCCTCTGAACCCTCTCTGCCATACAGGGGATGACATAAACCTGTCTGTCTCTGAGGTCCTGAGCTCCCGCCATTTCTGCAACAAGATCTGGAATGCCATGCGATTCATCCTTAATGCCTTAGGAGACAGATTTATACCCCATCCCACTGAAGAAGTGGGTGTTGGTTGTATTGGGGGAAGAGAAAAGGGAGTCATGGTGGAGGGATTGGTAGTCTGGTTGTCTAAGTTGTTGAGCACTTCTTTTGTTCCGTAGCTGTTTCCCTCATCTGCCATGGATGCCTGGATCCTCAGCTGCCTGGCCCTCACCGTAGGAGAATGTGAGCGAGGCTTCCTGGCACGAGAGCTCTCTCTCATCACCCATGCCTTGCACCACTTTTGGCTCCATAAACTCTGTGATGTCTACTTGGTGAGCCGAGGGGGCAGAAGGCACGGTGGCAGGGTGGCATTTTCCTCTATGGTTGTCCTTCTAAGTTCTCCTCGAATCTCATGGTTTTCCATGGTGGAGCCCTCTTGGGTGATTGATGAGAGAGGGAAAAACACCAATTGGTGTTTGTTTCTTTTCCCCCTTGGATTGGTTCTTGGGAGCCTACATGTGAGATTCCTCCCCTCCCATCTACTCTGCCTTTCACCCCCCACCCTCCCTGCAATTGCCTGAGAGAGAGAGAAGAGAGGAACAGTCACACAGATGGATTCCTGAACGATTGAAGCAGAGGAGCCAGAGAAAGATCTGAACCTGTTCATCTTTATGAGTATTCTTCCTGGGAACAATGAGAGAACTGGGAAGTCAATCTAGTGTGCTCTGGGGGCCAGTGTGGGCCACTGGAGGAACTCATATGTAATTATGTACCCTACTTAATATTAACTGATTCTACAAAAACATAATTTCAGGCTAAAACAGCATGGGGGAGTTGTGCAGTTAGTCCACAAAGGAAAATATTCTAAATGCATGTTCATGACCTGTGTGACTTTGGCATAGTGGCCCCTGGGCCTCAGCTAGACTAGATGATCTCTAAAGTAGGTCTGTTCGGCTCTAAACTCCATGACCCTATGCTTCTGTTATTGTCCAGTTTGTAGCAAGCAATCAGCAAGGTTTTGAGAACTTATGGTTGAGGTTTGTTATGTTGTATACATGATGTTTGTTGTGGAGTAGGTTATGCGTTGCCGGAAGTAAGGGGATGTGTCTTGGCAGAGTATTCAACAGTGGAGTATTCAAGTCATACAGTAGCTCTTCCCTGACCTAAGATCCCAGGGAATGGCCCTAGAACCATCTTGAGACTGAGTCACCCATTGGGGAGGGAGGAGAAGGGAACTGGGACCATTGTTTTGGGGAATGGAATTGGGGTGGGGGATAGGGAGGAATAATTGGGGGACCTCGCCAGAGGAGGGAGGTAACTCTGCGGTCCTCCATAGCTGACATTGGCCCTTAATTTCCAGGAGTCAGTGAAACCTGTGTTGTCAAGGTCACCCCAAGCCCCTGGACCTTTGCAGACCCTGTACTCCTGTGCAGATGTTGGGCTTCGTCTCCTTGCCCCACTCATGCCCTTCCTGGCTGAAGAACTTTGGCAGCGATTGCCTCGCCAACCAGATTGTACCCCAGCTCGAAGCATCTGTGTTGCCCCCTACCCCAGTGTCCAAAATCTGGTGAGCCACATTCACTAAAGTGTGGTACAGCCAAGGGTCCTAAGTTCTGAGCCCCACTTTTCCACTAACATATTACCTATAAAATTATGGGGATGGACTAAATAACTTCTAAGGTCCCTTCTATCCTTAACATTCTGTAAGTTAATTTCCTTGGCCTCAATTTTCTCATCTGTCAAATGACAGGGTTGGACTAGATGCAAGAAAGGAGGTGCCTTTCAGAGCCACAGTGTTCTGTGGTTCTGTGTATTGGGGAGGGTCTGGGTAGAGTAGTGGGAGTTGTTGGGGGATAAAGGATCTTCTGGAAGTGTTGATAGCATCATATGTCATACACATTTAGAGCATCTTCTTAAGGTTAGCTTATTATACTACTGTAGGGTAATAACAAACCTTCTTTTTAAGTTTTATTATCAGATGGTTTTGTGGTTTGTTATTATGGAGCTTTCCAGAGTTGAATTTTTTAGATGCTCATTTGCTGCTGTAGGTTCACTTCCTGTCCAGGGTCACTGGATTACAGTATAGTGGGGCCCCAGGGATCTCTTGAAGAACATAAGGATGGCCACACACAGCTTGACAAGCATGGTAGGTCAGAGAGCAAGGTTGTTTTCTGTAATGTGTACCACAAAAGTTGGGGAAATATCTTAGTTCTCCTCAGTCACCAGTTATAGATCTATCACTATTTCATTTGATTTCTTGAACTTGGTTTAAATCTTTATGTAATGGGGTATGAGTTCTAGGTTAGAGAGCTGACAAGGTGAGACATAGTCACCTGGCCTCGTAAGTAGGCAGTAGAGAGATAGACACACAAGTTCATTCTTTAGTAGGCTCTCCCTGGAGCTCACAGACATGTGGTCTGTGGTTGGTCAACTTCCACAGGAGCATTGGTGTCAGCCAGAACTGGAACAGCGATTTTCTCAGGTTCAAGAGGCTGTGAAAACACTAAGGGGGCTCCGGGCCATGTACCAGCTCAGCAAGGCCCAGCCCCGAGGTGAGAATTGCCCCTGGATACCTAAATCCTTGAGGGGAGGAGGGGTTGGTGTGTGAGAGGTGAGAACTAGAGATCTTGTCACACATGGGCTGCTGAAGGGTGTAGAGACTATGATAAGGGGAGGAACCAGTTGCCTAATGTTCTTGCTTTTAAGTCTCCTCTTTCCCCATCATCTTGCCCAGTGTTGTTGCAATGTTCAGAGCCCAAAGAGCAGCGTCTCTATGAAGATTTCCTGGAGCCACTGGGCACCCTGGCCCATTGTGGGGCTGTGAGCTTCTTGCCCTACAATAAGGCATTTCCCCAAGGCTGGGCCCAGGCCTCACTCAACAATACCACCCAAGTCTACATGGAGCTGCAGGTGAGGGTGGGAGAGGGAAGAAAAGGATTTGAGAGTAGTGGCAATTGGGTGAGTAAAGAATTAGAAGGAAAGAGATGCAGGGGATAGATGGGTTAAAGCAGAAAGAAAAGAAGAATGGAAGGTATTATGGATAGGAGAAAGAAGATATACTGGTAGGGTGGGTAGGTCTGAGATGTCTAATCCTATCCTTTCCCCAGGGCCTGGTGGACCCTCACCTGCATCTTCCAGTCCTGCTTACCAGAAGACAGAAACTCCAGGGACAGCTTGATAGCCTTACATCCCGGACCCCAGTTGAGGGGAGTGAAATGATGCAGAGAGAGCGTAAGGTGAGTTCTCGGGAGAGTGAGACAAGATACCTGTGGTCTTTGGGGGAAGGTGGACAGAGAGGCCAGGTATCTAGATTATCACCTTTTATCTCCCCAAGGTCTCTTCCCTCCTCATGGAGCTATCAAAGTTGGACCAGGCAATCTCTCACCTCCAGCAGCTGATGGATACAACTCCTACAAAGTCATGAATTCTACCCTCTACCAGACCTATCTCTGGGTGTTGCTGGGTCAGGGTGACCAAGTCCTGGGGGAATCCTGTGGGACATTCATAATTGTCATAGCCTCCCTCAGCACCCTGCCTTTTTTGCATTCTCAGGAGTAAGATAATTTAAAATATTTTTTTAAGCCAAGGCATCTGTCTGGTGCCTTTTTTGTTCTTCTTTCCAAGTGTTGTCTTTTTTGCTCTTCAGTTCCTTTGAAAAGAATTCTACCTAATCTTAGGGCTGCTTTTGGTCCTGGGGTTGGGGGTGATACTTGGAGTCCACAGACCTAGGGGTGAGGTGCTGGGAGTTAGTGCCCCAGACCCCCTCTTCTCTCATAAGGCCTGAGGGCTTGACCACATGCTGGCTTCTCCAGGCCTTTTCACCAGTCTGGTGATATCAGGTCTTCCTTCAAACAACTTCCTAGGAAAAGAGGGGAGAGATTTTTCCCGGATCTAGGGACTACAATGAGGACCAGATTAGGGAATACTTAGCTCCAGGAGTGGGGTTCGGAGCCCGGCATATCAACTGCCTCCCTTTCCCCCCACCACATGGGTGGGCTGGTGGCTGGAGTGTGTCTGTCCCGAGATGTCACACGTATTTAAAGCCACAAAAGTTACCGTCAATACTCAATACAATTTAGGGTTTTCCTGCTCCTAAATAGTCCCCCAAAGACAGTCAGTTGGCAAGCATTTGTTAAGCTCTAACTCTCTGCTAGCGCCTGTGCTAAAAACTAGAGAGTTACAAAGAAAGTCAAAGCCACAGTCCCTGCCCTCAGGGAATTCACATTCTAATGAAGAAGGCCAATACCTAGGAACACTCAAGATAAGATGTAAATAGGAGGTAAACTGAAAGAAATGTTTGGGGGTGGGGGTGGGGTGAATTGGCCTCTTGAAAAAGGTGGGATTTGAGCTGCATTTTGAGGAAAATGCCAGGACTAAACCAGAGAAAAACTTTTAAATTATCAGGACCAACTACACAGTTATATATGTTAACCAAACTGAGAACAGTAGGGAAGTTACTTTAAAAATACAAACTATGTAATATGAAATAACCCAAACTAACAAAATGTATTAGGACTATATTTGTTGCATAAAAGGAATATGGTAAAGTGCTTTCTTAATTTTTGAGAATAATTTGTGTAGCATTAGCACTAATTGTTTTTTAAAAGTTTGATAGAATTCTCCTTTGAATCCCATCAGGAGCAGATTAGTTTTCCCCTCTGATCGTTCCTTTACAGTTAAATCTGTTTCTTTTTCTGAAATTATATTGTTTGAAAAAGAAAGATGTAGATCAGTGGGACAGACTAGATGAGAAAATAAAAGACAATGGAACTCAATAACTCAGTGTTCTATAAACCAGAAAACATAAATTACTTAGGAAGGAACTTCCTGTTTGAAAAACTGCAGGGAAAACTAGAAAGCAGTTTGGCAGAAATTGGTCTTAAATTTTATACTATATTCCACAGTACAGTCTAAATGGATATATGACCTTAATATTAAAGGTTATTCTGTAAAACAATTGGAAGAAAAATGTCATAGACCTCATAGCTATTGGTAGGAAATGTATTCTTAATCAAAGGATAGAGGTGATTACAATAGGTAACTAACTATTCATGTGAAATTGGAAAGCTTCTGCATAAGCAAAATTAATACCTAGGTCAAGGGAATTGGTTCAATGGGGGAAAAAAAGCTTTTGTATCAAACTGAATTTGGGAGGAGATAATGAGTTTTTTTGGATAGGTTGAGTTTGAAATGTCAATAGGATAGCCAATTCAAGGTATCCAAAAGGCAGTCAATGATGTGGGTCTGGAGTTTAGTACTGGGTAGATAGATCTGGGAATCATTGGCATAGAGATGATAACTGACCCCACCAGGTTAGAACCTTGTGGGATACTCACAGTTAGTGGCTGTGACCTGGAGAAAGCTACAGCAAAGTAGACCGAAAGAGAAGTCAGAAAGGAGAGAACCAGGAGAGAGTAGTATCACAAAAGCCAAGAGAGAAGAGGATGATTGGAATCCAAAGCTTCAGAGAGATCAAGTAATATCAGGGTTGAGAAAAAGCCATTAGATTTAGCAATTAAAACAAAAAATTTGGGGGGAGGGGTTAACTTTGGAGAAAGCATTTTCTGTAGAATGGTGAGGTTGAAAGCCAGATTACAGAGGATCCAGAAGACAGTGGAAAAGAAATGGAAGCAGCTAACAGCTTTCTCAAGGAGGTTGCCTGAGAAGAGAAGAAATGCAGGACAGTACCTAGCAGGGATGGATGGATCAAAGTGAGGGTTTTATAAGGATGGAGAAGATCTGTGTGTTTTTAGAAGCAGAGAAGGAGCCAGTCTCTCTTTAATAGAGATTGAAAATGAGAGTGTAGGGATGATAGTGGGGGGCTTTCTGCTGGAGAAAACAGAAGGTGATGGAGCCATGGTAAAGGGAAGGACCACTTTCTCATGTAAGACGGATGAGAGAGGAGATTGTAAAGATGTTTTAAGTGATTTGAAAAGGAGAGAAGAGGGAGCTCTAGGTGAATGGTCTCAATTTTTTTTTTTAGTGAAGTAGTTCAGGTCCTCATCTGACAGGGTGTGTGGAGGGGGGGTGAAAGAAAAAAAAAGCATTTGCTTGGGTAGAGCAAAGCACTGCCTTAAAAATTCTCTTGCACAAATTAGATGTCTCTCGTGCAAATGTCAAAAGTACACAGAAGATGTAACAACAGTGACCTTGTTCAATGGCTCTCTGATTATTAATATCACCTGAAGTATAAACTAGAGTGAGGGAGACTTGTCAAACTGTCCAGTCAAATAGGTGGATCATGAGATCATAGGTTTAGAGCTGGAAGGAACCTTAGAAGTCATCTTCATTTTTCAGAGGAAGAATGCAAAGCCCAGAGAGGTTGTCAGCTTTCCTAGGTCATACAGGTAGCAAATAGCAGAGCAGGAATTTGAACTTTGGTCCTCTTGACGCCCCATCAAGCACTGCCTCTGCCCTCCAAATGCTCCTTCCAGCAGATGCCATTGTTCGGATTATATCAATCTCCAACTCTTAAATGAGATGCATAATCACTCTTTTTTTAAAAAAAAAAAAAAAGTTATTTTAGCTTCTGGATTTTCTCTTTCTCCTTTCCTTTCTCCCTCCCAGTGAGAAGGCAAGACAAACAAAGCCCATTACACATACTTGAATTCACGCAAATCAGATTCCCAAGTTAGCCTACCTCCTCCTTCCTCTCAAAAAAAAAAAAAAAAGAAAAGAAAAGAAAAGAAGCAGCACTCTGAATCCATCAGCTCTGTATGGAGGTGGATGGCACCTTTCATAATGGGTCCTTTGGAATTGTGGTTGGTCATGGTGTTGATGAGTGTTCCTAAGTCTTTCAAAGCTGATTATCTTTACAATATTATTGTTATTGTGCAATTGTTCTCATTCTGCTCACTTCACTTTGCATCAGTTAGCATGAGTCTTCTCTGGTTTTTCTGAAGCTATTCCCTCATCATTTCTTACAATATGGTATTCTATCACTTTCCTAGAACATAACTTGTTCATACATGTCCCAATTCTTTACCACCGCAAGAAGAACTGCTATAAATATTTATACATATGGATCCTTTTATGCATATGGATTCCTTTTTCTTTGATCTTATCAGGTTATAACCCAACCTACTAGTGGTATCTTTAGGTGAAAGGGTATGCACAGTTTAATATCTTTTTTGGGCATGGTTCCAAATTGTTTTTTGGACCAATTCTATGCGTTAAAGTCCCTGTTTCCTTCCCTACTCCCACCTCCCAACATTTATCACTTTTGTTTTTTGTCAGCTTAGCCAATCTGATGGGTATGAGATGATATCTTAGAGTTGTTTTCATTTACATTTCTCTCATTATTAGAACTTTTTTCATGTGGTCATTGGTAGCTTTGATTTCTACTTCTGCAAGCTGACTATTTATATCCTTTGACCATTTATTAATTAGGAAATGGTTCTTTCTTATAAATTTGATTCAATTCCTTATATATCTTAGAAATCAGACCTTTATCAGAGAAACTTGATGCAAATTCCTGCTTCTCTTCTAATTTTAGTTGCATTGGTTTTAAATGACACATAAATTACTCTTAAGATTTTTGGCTTAATTATCCACACTAGAAAAGCCAAGGACATGAAGAATGCCTGTTATGCAACTATACCATATAGTTAGATGAACAACCTGTAGAATTGGTCCAACAGTACACACATCCTAAACACATTAATTATACCTTAAGCTTAAGACTCAAAGCCTTATAGATTCCAGTAGTTAGTCACTAAGCATTTATTAAGCACCTGCTATGTGCTGCACACTGTGCTAAGAACCAGGGATACAAGAATAGCTAAAGGCAATCAATCCCTAACCTCACAGAGCTCATACTCTAATGGGGAAAGACAACAAACAAATATGTATAAACAAACTTTATACAAGACAAATAGGAAATAACAGGGAAGGCACTAGAATTAAGAGGATTTGGGAAAGGCTTCCTATGGAAGGTGGTATTTTAGTGGAGAGTTGGGAGGAAACCAGGAGACAGAGATGAGGAAGGAGAACATCCCAGGCTTAGGAGACAGTAGAGACAAAAGATAAGAGTGTCTTGTTTATGGAACAACCAGGAAGTGAGTGTCACAGAATTAAAGAGTATGTGGTAAGGTGCAAGACATGAGAAGAGTGGGAAAGTGGAAGGGGTCTACATTATGAAGGGCATTGAATGGGAAACAGAGCATTTTGTGTTTGCTCCTGGAAACCATAGGGAGACACTGGATTTTGTTGAATAGGAGGGTGACATAGTTAGACCTGAGCTTTAGGAAAATCACTTTAGTGGCTGAATGGAGACTAGACTGGAGTGGGAAGAAACTTGAGGCAGGCAGATGCACCAGCAGGCTATAAGGATAGTACTGTAGAAGCCAGAGGGATGTTGCCATCAAAGAACCAACTGTGGATGGACAAGTAAGTGGACCCAGAAGTGAACAGGAGGAGAATTGGCTGGAGTGCCTTTGCTTTTAAATGACTCCCATCTTTACCCCTAAACTTAGATCACTCTTAAACAGTAGTGTTATGCCAGTGGAAAGGCATCACAGTGTGTTGAGTAGAGAGTTGTCCTCAGAGTCAGGAAGATCTGGGTTCAAGTTTTGCCTCTGCCACATTTGGGATGTATGACCCTGGACATGCCACTTAGCCTCTATTGTCTAGAGTCCCAGGCAACTCACTTAAGATATAAAGTGCAGAGAAAGTGCTGGCTTACATTGGTAGAGAAAGTTCTTCCCCAGGACCTCTCTCCATTGATGATCATAATAGCTTTTGAGGTGTACAAAACCCTTTACATAACATTATTTCATTTGATCCTCACTACAGCCCTGTGAGGTGTTATCTTTGTCTCCATTTTACAGATGGGACAGGTTAAGTGACTTGCTCAGCATAATCAATTCAGTTCATTTCAAAGTGCTGAGGATACAAATAAGCAAAAGAAGCAGTCCATGCCCTCAAGGAGTTTACAGTCAAATAGGGGAAGACCACACAAAAGGAATAAGAAAAATGGGGGGGGGGGAGAGGGCACCAGGGGACATGTTCCATGTCAAACAAAGCAGCTGGTGGAGAATGGAGTTATAGGGGCAGCTAGGTGGCGCAGTGGATAGAGCACCGGCCCTGGATTCAGGAGGACCTGAGTTCAAATCCGGCCTCAGACACATAACACTTACTAGCTGTGTGACCCTGGGCAAGTCACTTAACCACATTGGCTAGCTAAAAAAATAATAGAATGGAGTTACCAGGAGGGTTGAGTTGTTCCGTTGTTTCATCCCTGTCTGACTTTTTGTGACACCCTTTTGGGGTTTTCTTGGCAAAGATACTGGAGTGGTTTGTGGATTCCTTCTCCAGCTCATTTACAGATGAGGAAATTGAGGCAGACAGGGTTAAGTGACTTGCCCAGGGTCACACAGCTAGCATGTGTCTGAAGTCAGATTTGAACCAGGGTCTTCCTGACTCCAAGCCTGGCATTCTATCCACTGCCCTAGAACCCTCTGTAAAGGAAGGCTTTGGGAGGAGTTTAGTGCTCTGCCCTCCAACCCTCCATTCAGAGGGAAGAGGCAATTTAGGTGAGTTAAGAGAGTGTTAAATATCAAAAAAACCAGCTAGTGACTGTTGGGCAGGATTTGAACTCAGGACTTCCTGACTCCAAGAAGTCCAGCACTGTATGCTCTGTTCTACTTAGCTGTTCCTTAAATCCCTAGTCTGGTCAAAAAAAAAAATCTTCCAGTGATAACTGTATGGCTGCAAGAAATGCAATTCTAATCTCCAAAAAATTAAAGCTAAGGATCACTCAAACAGGTGCATGGTGGGTGTGAATGGGCTGCCACCCTCCTGGAAACAGGAAGAATTCGGCATAAGTTGTGTAAAGTATGTCATCAGAGAAAAATATGAGTAGAGAAAAAAAGAGGATGGCTTGGTTATAAAGTAAAAGCCAGAGAAACTAATGAACTGCCCACTCACTCCATTGGTTTCTACTTCAAGGGCATAGAGAAAGGTTCAAGACCCCCTGTGGTGAATTCATGAGAGGACTTGGAGAAGAGCCTCATGATGGCCAGGCATGGGCGAGCTTTGCTCTGCATCAATGGAGGGAAAACTCATGTAAATGAAGCCTCAGATGCTTTGGAGTTGGCCATTTAGGTCCCCAGGCTCCCCATTCAGGTTACTTATTTCCACTATTCATATCTGTTTAAGTGATTTGATGAATGTATTCACTCCAAGCTACGAGTGACTAGTAAGACTTACCATTACCACTTCCAGGGGTATTTACGTTTTAACAGTACTTAAAACCAAATGAGTAAATAGCTGATTGTAGAATTTCAGAAAGTGTGCCAGGCAGGGAAGGCATTTTAGAGGATAAGGGGCCTTTTTAGGAACCCTGAAATCATTCCAGTAAACAGCTTCTATTGCCATAGATTTATAAAGCCAACAGAGGATAGAAACTTGTATTTTGGGGAAAATGGGGACCAAGATGGGGGAGAGGCTGAACAAGAAGGCTTCCCAGTTTCCCAAGTAGAGAAATTGAGGGACTTGTCCAACTTCACACAGGTAGGAAATAGTAGAGCCAAGATTTGAACCTTCATCCTTTGCCTTCAGACTTCTTCTGCTCATCCATAAGGGATCGGGAAAGGGTGATTAGGTGCTCTCTTCCCCTTTCTTCCCCAGCTGTCTTTCCTCTCTCTCTCTCTCTCTCTCAAGGCAATTGGGGTTAAGTGACTTGCCCAGGGTCACACAGCTAATAAGTGTCAAGTGTTTGATCTAAGGCCGAATTTGAACTCAAGTCCTTCTGACTTCGGGGCTGGTGTTCTATCTCCTTCGCCACCTAGCTGCCCTGGGTCTTATCTCTCCAAAGGGCAGGTGCATCTATGACTCTGCAGGTTTGCTTTTCCAGAGTCTTGAGCTCCTTAACCCTCACGTGCTACTCTTATCTTCTCCATGAGACAACTCCATGTCCTTTTGGGTCATGGTGAACCTGTCGTAAAGGATGACCTAAGAGATGCTTATATCATTATCTTGGATTTACTTAGCACCCAGCTCCACCCTGGAAGCTCTGGAATGAGGAGATGAGAATACTATTTTTTTTTTCAAGTCGAGATGTGTGTGGCATCTTACTTCCTCTGCTCTCACAGTGGACTTCTTGACTTTTCTCTGAAGGGGAAGATGGAAGAACAGGGAGGTGTGACTCCCAGCGCACAGGCTTCTTGGGGACTATTCTGGAGTGAGGAAGTGAGCTCCAGCCTTAGGTGAGGAAATGGGAAGTAACCAGTAGTTATGGGATGGGTCTATCCATCCTCTAACAAATACACACATAGCTTCTGCCTGATATTAGGACATCAGAGAGGTAAACAGCAGGTTGCCAGTCCTTAGTGTTCCTGTTCCTGTCCATTTCCTAAACAATATACTAGGAGAACAGAGGAGAGAAGTCCTTTAGACCTGGGGATAACAATGGGGAACAACATGGGTAGGAGAGTTCCAGGAACCTAGGGAATCAAATGGTCACTGCCCCCACCTCCCACCCCCTGGTGCTCTTTATGCTTGAGGTTTTGTTTGTCTGTGTATTAGCTCACAAGTTCAACAGTCCTGAAACTAGCAACATAAAATGTTAGACCCTCATTTTACAAATGAAGAAGCAAGTACAGAAAAAGTAAAGTCCCTTCCCCACAGTCTCGCAGGGGCTTGGGTCTCCTGATTCTAGAGGCTGGACACATTTTAGAACATTAGGAGAATCAGGGGTTTTCTGGTCCGACTTCAGTTTTCCTTTCTATCTGCCCCTCCCCCTCCCTGCCTGCTGCCCAAAGATACACAGAGTCAAATCAGTATCCACATCTGTATTAAGGTGCCCAGCAGGGCTAGTGACTGTGAGACTGAGTCAGGCATTAACCCCCAACCTCCATTGTTTGGGTATGTGGATGTCTGGGAGAAGGAGAAGTTTGGGGTCCAGATGCACTGGTACCATCCCTGGATGGCACTCTGCCACCTGCTTCAGCAGGTGACATGATGAGGTGACCCTGGGCTTCGGAGGGTGATATTGGTCCCTAAAGGGAGGTTCAGGAGGTGACAGACCTGGAAGAAAGGGAAAGGCAGTGGGAGGCAGAGGGAGGGTAATGGGATCCCCAATTCCTGGTTCTATGAGACAGATGGATAAACATACTCTAAACCTGTTCTGTACCCCAAATCCATCTTCCCCCACCAAACTCCTGCCCCTTGCCTCACTTTCTAGGCCATACCTTCTCCAGAAACTCCTGGAAATGGGGGACTCGTGAGAAGTTCCCAGGAAAAGAGTCCTTCAACTTCAGATGCATGAGGGTCCTGGGCCCTGGGGGTCCATGAGCATAGTTCAGGATCTAGGTGTCTGGTCCCATAGACTTTGGCTCTTCTCATTTTTCAGCTCCTGCTTTCCTCAGGGACCCAGATGTCCAACTTACCAGCCCCTTTCAGGGACCACCCCCCAGCACCTCTTAGAGAGTTAGGCATCTGTCCCTCCCATTCCTTGTAAGGCCTCAGGGGTCCTTCCCCTTAGTTCTCTCTCCCTTTGAGGACCAACTCCCCACCTCTTACCTGTCCCTTGTGGCTTGTTGGGCAGGATTAAAAGGAGGAAAAGAAGCATCCAGGGCTCCATCATGGCAAACCGATGACTGGGAGGGAATGTGTTCTTTGAATTCCAAGCCAACTCTTTCCTTCCCTCCTCCCTACTCTCCCCCC